AGATATATATAGTAGCTTGGTTATTGATAGCCAAAACTAAAGCCTTGAATATAGTACCATGAAACACAAGCCTTGAATATAGTACCATGAAACACAAGCCTTTAAGATATTATTGTAAAACTACATTTGTAACTTTGCTATCTTGAAATTATTCACAGTGGACAAAAATGTGTGTGTAATTAATTAGTGTAAGTTTTCTTGAATCTGAGTTTAATATGTAGGTTACTTAGATGAATGTGAGTCATATATTTGTGTGATTTTTTCCCTTCTTGAGTTACTTTGTTGTAAGTATTGAAACTTAGCCATATTACTCTAATAAAATAAAAGTGTGTAATTATTACCACTTAATTGATTACTTATATGATAAGTATCTTACTTTTGTGAAGAAAGTCATAAGAATTTGTGATCAAGTATGTTAATTTCAATTTTATCTCATGCAACTAGATTAACTGAAGTAGGGGATTATGTGGAACAACAGCAGCAGGAACTAGAACACCTTCAAGAGGAGAGGTACGAGTTATTGACTATGCAGGAACAGTTATCACAGCTGCAACAGCATCTTCCTGAAGAGATCTTACAGAACTATGAACAGAGATCATCTGGAGAAGGTGGAAGCTTGAAAAGAGACTATCCATCTGCTATGGCTTCTCAGATAAAACCAGAAGCAAGTGGAATGTTAAATGTTCCTGACCGAGAAGATAATCTGGTAGATTTACTGCAGAACTCCGTTCCTGGAGTAACAGGTAATAGGTCTCGATCAGAGTCGTTGTCAAACAAAAAGGATGTAAACTTGCCCAAAAATTTGCCAGTAAGGACTAAATCTAAGTTGTCGGGTAGTAAACTAGAAGGTGTTGCCAGGGAAGGAATGGAAGCTTTAGCTTCATTGGGTGCTGAGCTAGATCGAAGCCTGTCTTTGAGGGATGAGCTTCGAAAGCAAAAGTCTATGTTAGAAGAACTTCTTCGTCAGGAACGTACTAAACAACTTGGCTATACTCAAAACCAAGATCATCCTAGCCGCAGCGGGTCATCTGTGAAGTCTGAACCTGTCGAGGGCTCAAATAGTGTCCTAGCTCCAGACACAACAGCTGCTGCCACCTGGGGAGGATCTAGTACTCAGGATAACCTGGAAGATGAAGCAGAAGAAACATTAGAAAGTCCTGATGAACGTGATGAAGATGAAGGTGAGTAACTGAATTGTACATCAATCTGTAGTTTCAGCAGCATTGGGGAGAGAAATTATTATTATTATTCTAATTAGAGGTTGGATATCAGACATTGTCTGACCAAAAATTAGATATATGTGACAAAGATGGCTTCTGTTTGGACATTTTGTCTGGTATGTTCTTATTGCAGAATTCATCTTTAGAAATGGCTTTGCTGTAAGGCTTTTTGAATCAGTTTACTCCTTGTGTAACATTTTTTCTGCATCATTCCCATGTCCTCTTCCTAATGGCTAAGAAACTGGTTTCTTTGTGTTTCATTTAACTTATAATTTATTCTAGTTGTTTAAAAAAAATTTAATCTGTCAAAAAGTATGAGAGATAAGTTGTATATCAAAATTGCATTAATAAGTTGATTTGGAAAATAAACTTTATTTAAAAATATTTTTGGACTTCCACATTTAACTTCATATTCTGCACTTAGGAACTATTTATTTAGAAGCAAAGACCTGGATTATCTTGGTGTGATTGGAAACAGATTGATGAAGCATGCTATTAAAAGAGTGTAGAAAGGAATTTTCTTAGTAGTCTTTTGAGCATAATATTAAGTGTAATACATTAAATTTTATTATAGTTCTGAATATGTTGTTGATTATTTATTTTTGTAAGTATGAAAAATGATTATACAGTCCTTTGTGAAATATTCATACATTCAGCTTATACAAATTTGTTTGGTTTGGGATTTACAATTTCCAAGATGGGGATATACCTTGTAATTAATGACATTGGAAAAGGGAATATGGATCAACTTGGGAAATCAGGACCAACCAGAAAGAGACCTGCAACAAATTGTATCTTAGCCATGGTAAGCAAAGTGTTATGTAATAGGGAAGAAAGTAAGAGTTAAAAGCTGTTCATGTGTTTCATGCAGCAGTATGTAACCTAATCAACAAGGATCTCCATCTGGAAAATGACATAAGTCACATGTTCACAATTTACTTTTGTGTGTCATTCAACCATCAAAGAATGAAATTTGTTTTATGCTTTTCCATAAGAAGACATACTGATCAAGGTGCTGGGAAACTGCCCTCCTCGTACTCTGGATGAATTGTGGAAAACAAGTAGGGAGGGTGGTGTTCTTTGAACATAACATCTTTGTACTTACAATCGAGCCTTTTGCAGTGGAAATTACTCTGCAAGGCTGTTGTTCAGGTGCACTTTTGTTAAATAGAGCATGATTGGATGTAACTACATGGAATGTAACAGTGTAGTGGGGTCATAGAATTTTTTTAACCCTCTCACTATGGGTAGGTCAAAGTGTGTATGCCATAACCTTTAAGAGTTACATTCAGAATTAAATAAACTACTTTATTATCAATGTATATGAATAAACTTGGCTTCAAAACATAATTAATAAGTTTTAAGTTCTTAATTGTATCGGGAGATATTAAACAAATCCTCACTATCTCCTAGTATAAGAATTGTGACACTGTCCTCTAGACTCTAGGTCTTCTCTAATATATATATTGCCCCCTCTGAAGTATGGAATTTAATTTATATTACTCGTTAGTAGGCTTAATTTTCATTGGCAACCAACAGCAAAAAAGCAAAATCAAAGATAAGTGCTATATTTCTTTTTTTTTCATGTAATGTAATGTAAATTTTGTACTTATTGTTATAAAAGTAAATAAAATGTAAAAATTAAGATTTATTATGCTATTTTTGGTAAGATAATGAAAAATGATAATAATAATAATAAAAATTCTTCACAAGGTATGCTCGTGAGCAGCTCATGCATTATATCATTCAATATAGTAATGTGAGCTACACTTTTTCTGAGTGATTTACAACTTGTGTGGTGGGATTATTAGTTAGACTCTCTTCAAAGGGCAATAAAATTAAGTATAAATGGATGTAGATTATTAGGAGTTTTAAGCTACTTAGGATGAACAGTTTTTTCCTGTTACAATTTGTAGTCTTTCTAGAAAAAAAAGGTAATTTAGATTTTGTATTTTTTATGATGGTTACAAGGTTAGACAAATAGAATGATTTTGTATAAAGTTAGGGTAGAGAAAAACTGGTAAAATAAAGTTGGTCAAATGGATTGTGTTCGTATAGAGTTAGGTTAGAAAAAAACTGGTAAAATAAAGTTGGTCAAATTGACTGTGTTTATATAGAGTTAGGGTAGAGAAAAAACTGGTAAAATAAAGTTGGTCAAATGGATTGTGTTCATATAGAGTTAGGGTAGAAAAAAAACTGGTAAAATAAAGTTGGTCAAATTGACTGTGTTTATATAGAGTTAGGGTAGAGAAAAAACTGGTAAAATAAAGTTGGTCAAATGGATTGTGTTCATATAGAGTTAGGGTAGAGAAAAAACTGGTAAGATAAAGTTGGTCAAATCGACTGTGTTTATATAGAGTTAGGGTACATAAAATAACATAAGATAAAGCTGGTCAAATTGACTGTGTTTATATAGAGTTAGGGTAGAGAAAAAAACTGGTAAGATAAAGTTGATCAAGTTGACTGTTTATATAGAGTTAGGGTAGAGAAAAAACTGGTAAGATAAAGTTGGCCAAATCGACTGTTTATGTAGAGTTAGGGTAGAGAAAAAAACTGGTAAGATAAAGTTGGTCAAATCGACTGTGTTTATATAAGAGTTAGGGTAGATAAAATAACATAAGATAAAGTTGGTCAAATTGACTGTGTTTATATAGAGTTAGGGTAGAGAAAAACTGGTAAGATAAAGTTGGTCAAATCGACTGTGTTTATATAGAGTTAAGGTAGAGAAAAAACTGGGAAGATAAAGTTGGTCAAATTGACTGTGTTTATATAGAGTTAGGGTAGAGAAAAACTGGTAAGATAAAGTTGGTCAAATTGACTGTGTTTATATAGAGTTAAGGTAGAGAAAAAACTGGTAAGATAAAGTTGGTCAAGTTGACTGTTTATATAGAGTTAAGGTAGAGAAAAAACTGGGAAGATAAAGTTGGTCAAATTGACTGTGTTTATAGAGTTAAGGTA